ATCACTTTGTTTTAAGATTTTTATAGGTTAAAGAATGTTGGTTCTTCATTTTAAGAGCTTGCTTTTTTTTTCCCATTTCTTGCATACTTTATAAATGTAAAATTTAAAAAATTTTTTGAAATTTTTTAATTTTGGGGGAAAATCGGGGATATCAATTTGGGAAAAAAAATGAATCCCTTTTTAATCCCAAACCAAAAGGGTAAAGGGGAACGTAAAGGGTTCCCCTTTTGTTTCCTTTCATTTTTCCTTCTGTACATGGGGTTAAAATTTACAGGGGAAGTGTTGGCGCCCCCTGTAATATGGAAACATTTCTATTTCTAACCCCCTGTTTTTGTGTGATTCTTGACATGGTATATTTAAAAATATATTTAAAAATTTAAACCTCTTATTGTTTTATTCAAATATTATACTGATATTCGATTTTAGCGGTGTATATGAAAAACCCATGAAAATCAAGGCACCTTACAAAATCCCTACACCATATGGCGGACAAGTTATATATACAATGCCAGGAGATAATTTCCTTTTCATACATCTGAAAGACAAACAAAAAATAAGGCATCGGAAGCGTTGGTCCCAGGTAAGTATATTGTTTGGCATGCACATTATGCTTTTGACTTGCATTGTTTGACGTTTTGTGATATTGAGTGTTTTCATCATTTGTCTCTCGCTGTTGATTCCGAACTCATGTGTCATAAGAATGGGTCATTTGTAGTGAAAATGGTAATTGTTGGTTTATCATCGATGAATTCGGTCAAATGGACAAAAGCCCACATATAACCAAACGTCGTTGAATTTGGTATAAAAATAAAAGCGATTGATTGCCAAACAGCCCAAATTGAAAATTTTTAAAAAACTTTGGGGAATGAAAAATTTTCCCCAAAAGTTTCTTTTTTAAAATTTTTTTTTTTAAAACCTGTTTTAAAAGGTCATGAAACTTGTATTTAATTTTTTTGGGGTTTTCGGATCGTAAAAAGGGGGTGTCATAAAACGGTTGACCAGCACTGAACGTAGAAAAAATTTAATGTTTTAAATTTCAAGGGGGAAACCCGGGAAAAGTGCACCTGAGGGATCAAGGGGGGCAGTCGATTTTAAAAGCTTTTTGATGCCCAAAACCCCTTAGAAAGGTACTTTTTACCTTTTTAAATGTGATCTGAAAAAATCTTAAAAAAATATAACATATGTTTATAAAACAAATTTCCCCCTTTGGGGATAATTAAAAATAAACACTTTACAATAAATCAAACATATAGATGATATTAATGAATGTATGTTCAATATTGAATTTATTGAGCGAGTTGAATATGATATTTTTATTGAACAAGATCAAAAAGATAAACAATATAACGAATATAATGATCTAATATACTAAAACTATAAGAATTGTTAAAACTTTAAAACTGAATAATGCTTACACTGACGCGTTCATAGTGAATTGCAAAAATTACGTTTGTTAAAAGCAACTGACGTCAACTCAAAAATGTGCACGACCTATCCATTACCTTGTTACGGTGTTGCAAAAGCCGCACTGGAATGTGATCAATTTCATTAGTTTTGATTTGAGCCAAATAATCATTTCTTTATATAGGCACAAAACACGTTTCTATTGGCGCTTGACGGTGACGTGGACTTTACCCCTGGGGCCGTTCGCCTTCTTCTTGACAGGATGAAGAAAAACCAGAAGGTTGGAGCTGCTTGCGGTAGAATACATCCAATTGGAACAGGTATTTTATGAATTCTTGACAAAGTCTTACAAAAATACAACGGCTAATTGACATTCTTGATAAATATTGTGATTCGTAAAAAGTATACACGGTTACACGTATTTTCATTTTTTTTTAAATATTTCTAGACGTACACTCGTCAAAATAACATAACTTATATTGTTTAAGTTGAACTTTACAAAAATGTTTTTGTCAAGTATTCTAAATTTACCAGAGTTAAATAATTTAGTAGCATTGGTTTAATAACAAATATTGAAAAAAGAACATCTTATACTTTTTAACATATTTGTTAATAGTATTGAATCTTGGCTGACGTCAGGAACAGTAGCATACTTATCTTTGATCGTGCTTCGTTGTACAAATATTGTTTAATATGAGTCGATATGTATGTATGTAAATAGTTTATTTAAAAGAAGCTTAAAATAAAAAAAGACTTCCTACATTCAAATTTAAGTAACATACACATTAATGCCAACCCTTTTGTGTTTAAGGACCAGTTGTTTGGTTCCAAAAGTTTGAATACGCTATCGCACACTGGCTACAGAAAGCAACGGAGCATGTTCTCGGATGTGTACTTTGCAGTCCCGGATGTTTTTCTATGTTTAGAGGGTCAGCACTTATTGATGACAATGTTATGAAGAAGTATACCATTCTACCAACAGAATCTGCGCATCACCTTATGTACGATCAAGGTCTGAGATATACTTATGTGTTCGATTTATTTGATACTAAATAAGACTAAAAGAATAAATTTTTTTCATTGTTCTTGTGTCATTTATGTGTACTTCATCTTCACTTTTACATATTGATATTAAAAGTAATGTTGTGAAAATTTATATAGTACGAACAGAACATTATTCTCGATAATTGTTTTATTATCCTCAGTTCATCGAGTTTGCTTATTGAGAAAAACAAACACCTTTTCAAAAACGAACTTAGCCCTTCATAAAAGCACGTGTGTCAAAGCTTATACATAATAACTATTAAATTGATCACTGTCTAAAATTATGTTTATATGGATATCAATTGAATAAGGTGCAATTATAAATGATTTTCTTCACTTTACATTTCTGTACAGTACAAATACAACAACTTAAAGCGGTCATAACTACGGTTTCTACTATAAATATACTTACGATTTTTTTATCGCCGATTTTAAAATTTTGGTCATATCTCGGCAGTCTCATAATGTAATTGAACGTCCAAACATGTTCTATCTTTAACCATTTTCACAGGAAAGAATACGTTGCCTTTTAACTACAAGCTAAACCTACATGTATGTATAATTTAATGTGGGTTCGAAGATACTTTTGATTTTTCTCATATTAGGATGTTATCCAGCTAGCTTGCATAAGAGTGTAATTCTACTTAGGTAATCGCACATGTAGGAGATACTGTATGCAAGGACTCAGGCGATTTTCGTCCATTCGTAGGTCAACATATGGCCGAAACAGTGTCTTCGTGACTTGAAACTCAAATAAAATCGTAATTACCAAAGATCGACATGTTTATTTTTCAAACATTTTTCAAGCAGACTTATTCTTACGTACGTTGGATCATTTACACACACGCTGTGTCACTATTTTCAGGCGAGGATCGATGGTTTATGCACCCTTCTTCTACAGGCAGGGATATCGAGTTGACTATGCAGCTGGATCTGATGCTTTCACGTATGCCTCCTGAAAAGTTTTGCTGAATTTTTTTTAATCAACGTCGAAGATGGATGCCATCTACCGTTTTCAAAACATCATCGACCTTCTTGCTGACTACAAGAACAACAGTATATGTGAATTCCAATATCAGCATGCTGTATATCCTGTATCAAGGGTGCCTTGCTATTGTCTACCATTGTTGGCCCTGCAACTGTTATAATGATGATCGCTGGCGCTACCATGGTTGTCTTCAAAGTCACTGTCATATGGGGATATGTGATTGCTCTTGCCCCCTGCGATATTCTACTTTATCCTGTGTTTTTTATGTGAAGGCAAAAAACTCAAATTTCAAGTAGCGGAGAATTCTCACAGCACTATACGCGTTTGTTATGATGATCGTATTAGTCGGAAACTTTAGTTACCGCTGGCCCAAGAAAGCCCATTACATCCGAGTGTCATATTTTTAGGCTTTCTTGTTATAGCCTTTACCTTTTCAGCGCTGTTACATCCAATGAGTGGTCATGCATTATTTTCGGTCCTCTTTATTTTCTTCTTATACCCAACTGGCTTCTTACTTCTCAATATATATTCATTGGTGAACTTGAATAACATCTCATGGGGTACTCGAGAAGTACCGAAGAAGAAAACTCCAGCCGAAATAGAAGAAGAAAAAAGGCAGAATGAGGAAAAGGAAAGGAAAAATAATAAAAGAGGCTTTTTCGGTAGATTCTTTCCTACATTTCCTACTAAAGAATTCAAAGATATTCTACGTAAACTCACAGAGAAGTCAAAATGCAAAGAGAGAGGATTTTAGTTCCAATGAGACAAACAAATTACTGAAAGAAATAATTGATCATTTGAAAGAAATTGGTGACCAAATTAATAAGCCAAAACCTGCACCGACAGAAACGGCTCTTTTTGATGAGGATACAACCATTCAAGACAAACCTGACAACACAGATAGACAAGAACCTTCACAGGTCAAACTTCAAAGTATATTAAAGAATTCCCACTCCGATCAGCATACAAAAAGACATGCAAAAATATCTGACAGCTTAAGAAATATTAACGATGACTCTGAGGAAACAATAAACGATAGAGGAAAAAAGAGTCGTGACGAACTGGTTAATCCAGCTTGGACAGAGTGCAAAGAACTTGGAAATGGCAAAATAGTTACACTTGCTTTAGAGGAACTGAAGTTTTGGAAGAGTTTTATAACAAAGTAAGACATATTCTTAACGTTCCTTTTTGGCCTTTTCAACTCTGGTGATTCCAGTATTACTACTTGAATACTGTATAACCCGCCTAGGATAATTATATTACCTACTTTTTAAATTTGTCTTTTGACGTCTTGTCTGTGATATGCAGGTTTCATAACCTCAGATCCCTTTTCAAAATTCCATTTTATTTAGCTCATTTTATTTATTTATTTATTTGAGCCCATTGTTTTCTTGTTGAAGGTACATGTATTCTTTTACTTGGGGACAATACGCCACTTTATATGAAATGGCAACCCTGTGTCACATTGTAGGTTCCATGATTACAGCCGTATGAACATATCTACGGATCTTTCTAAATCAAAATTGTTACCATTTTCGTGTTAAATCTGAAATTCTGCATAAGCATGTGCTGTGCTAGGGATCGTGAACAGTAATTTCCACTTTCCAGTACCGTCCAAGAACAGACTAAATCAATGCTAGCCTGCAACATTTTCAATTATGTCGTGTTGGACTTTCTTTAGAGATTCTGTTATTCTCTATTTCATTGTCACATCCGTGTTATTTGTGCTGTGTGGCGGCTGTAAAAAGTCCTCTGATACAGTTAATCAATGATGTTTATATTTTTTGACCCCTTGAAAGAATCGTTCAGCACGAACATTCTGTTTCTGTATTCTGTTATAGGTACTTTGGGGTTTCTTCTTTGTTGGCGAGGCCTTTTTTCAAAACTCGGGGTGGTTTCAAAGTTATATCCTACTTGAACACTGTATAATCACCCTTAGGATATGTTACCTGCTTTTTAAATTTGTCTTTTGAAGTCTTGTCTGTGATATGCAGGCTTCATAATCTCAGATCCCCTTTCAATTCCATTTTATTTAGTTCCGCCCATTGTTTTCTCGTTTAGGGTACAAGCATATTTTTACTAGGGGACCAATCGCCGCTTTGCATGGAATTGCACTTCTGTGTCACATTGAAGGTTCCATGATAACCGCCATATGAACATGAATATGTTAATTACGCCAAATATAAAGTAAAAAAATACATTCACCATGATTCCATTGATACCATACATTTTATGACAGGCAATATATTGATTTGTTCTAATTATTGTTATCTGTTGTTTTGTAAATCACATCAAAATTTCGAAATTGTTTTTGATCTTATTTCCTTTAATTTTTCACGAAAAAACACTAGTACATTATAACAAATTATTCTGTCTATAAATTCTACTTTGTGCAAAGACAAATATAATTATGATAACATGGTTCAGTAAATTTCTGTTAAATCAATTTTTGAAATTTTCTTTTTCATTTTTAGATACCTTGAACCAATTGAACTTACAGAAGAGGAGAAAAAGAACATTGCAAAGAGTTTGATAGACTTACGGAACAATATTGCACTTGGTATGGCGATGATAAATTTACTATGGATTGCCATCAACTTTATGTTTCAGTTACAAAGTCCGACGACCATACCGTTGCCATTTTCTGTAAGTATATATAAACTTTTACATTTAAATAACATGAAGAATTAAATAATATTTTAAGATATTTCAATCTAATAAAATAAGCTTACAAACTTTACCCAGATGCTATGTAAAATTATAAGATATCTATAAACATTTTCGAAATAAATCAAAATTATTTTAATGAAATTTTTAACCCGCCTTACTTTTAAATTGCAATTATTTCATTATGTTTTATAATGTTGAAAATGTATGTGTTGTTTATTATTCTGTTAAATAAAATGATGGAAGTTGCTTATTAACTTATTGTTTTTTCAGGGATCGTCTGACAATCCTGAAAGTCCTGAGTACTTGGAGGAAAACCAAAAAGATACCGATATGAGTGCATCAGACCCAACAATATCATTAAAAGTTGATTTATTGGGATTGCTCTTTATTTCTTTTACTTAGCAATTCTATTGCTTTCAATTTTTATAGGTATTGAATAAGCATAGATGGGGGAAAACGTTCCAGCATCTAGTATCCGTAACAAAATTACCTCAGGTGATTTTTTATAATATCCATCTTGCATCTTGATTAAATACTCCAATGACGCATTCTTTTTGCTGTCTCAGATTACCAGTATTGATTATTAGGTTTTGGTACAAATTATTTTGTTAGCTTTTGAAAAGAGTAAGATTACTTTATTCATATATATTGCGTGTGATAAAATTTTGTAGCTAGAATAAAACATTGACATATTTTGCTATTTTTCTTGAAAAGGTTGGTGTGACAGCAAAACGGTCTAATGTTGATTCCGATAAAGCTAGGGAATTTATAGAAAAAATAATTGCAGATTGTTCTGATGACAACGAGGACGACGACGATGAAAAAGAAACAAAAAACGAACTGCAGGTTTTACAGAGAACTGGGTCAAGGTTAAAATTATTTGCGTTTAAAAAATATATATCTTTTTTTAGGTTTTCATTTGGTTGCTTTTTTAACAACCAATTAATTGAAACAAACAGTTTGAGAAACACAATTATATATCACCTAGCGCTTTCCATTTGATTTACAGAAAATGTCCGTGAAAAACAATATTCGGCTCTCTTAATGACAAATTTGTAAGGAAATGAGTGCTTAAATTTTATCTAATTAACGGTTGGATCTTTTCATACATTGTTTCCTTTTCGTTTTACCAGTTGATCATAGCAATATTGGATTATTCAAGAGACTGTTTCCGTACATTATTGTAAGTTTTATTTATCTGACACACTGTCATATTAATGCATCGATTTCAATTAAACAAAGCATAGAATAGCGTATAAAGATATTTGGGGGTTTAACCTTTAAAAATTATGTAATGATTTTAAACAAGGGCCCTTTTAGCTTTATTGGCACAAAGGGGTCAAAGGGGAGATATTGTTATCCCAAAGGGCCATTGTTCGGGGCGGGGTTGGGTTCGGCTTTTTAAAATTTTCATTTTAAAAAACCCCCCCCTTAAAACCAATCACTGCCCAAAAATCAAACTTTCCAAGAAAGGGGTCCTTTGGGGTGGGTTTTTCCCAAATCCCTTCCCTTTTTTTTCATAAGTTGGTCCACGGGGCCAGGAAAAGAGTTTTTTAAAAAAAATTCTTCTCTGACAGTTAAAGAGGGGAAAAACTTTTTTTTTTTTGGTAAAAATTATATCATCTTAGGTCTTTCTCAAAAGTTTTTCCCCCAAGTGTCAAAAATTTGGGCCCCGCCCGGGGTCATAGGGTTTAAAAATTTAAAAAACTACTTGTTTAAAAAAAACAAGGTTTTACAGCTTTTATTTTTTTGTATATCATTTTTTTTATAGAAGGTTGTCTACAAATTAATTCAAATTATTGCCTTGTGTTCAAAATTGACCCCGCCTCGGGGAACATACGTTTTACTATATATACAAAAAATGAAAACAAGTGCCGGAAAAAAGTCACATATAAATAAAGGCAAATGATCATAAGAGAAACCGGTTGGCAAATAATTAAATAACTTAACTCATGTACTGTGTTTTTTGTTTTATATATATATACATATATATATATACTTAAAAATCTCTCGTCTGAAGGTACAAGACTTAGAGTTTAGAAATTATGTATATATTATCATATTATCATATATTCATATATAGGTCATCTAAGTTTTTCAAATGTTCGCCACAGTGTCAAAATTGGCCCGGCTCCGGTGCGTCAGGTGTTTTCCTTATAATTATGTATATATAGTAGAAACATGAAAAAATTTCTCCTCTGAATTTCCAAAGTCTTAGGGTTTATCATTGTACATGAAACATTGTGTAGAGGACATCTACCAAGATTGTTCAAATCATAGCTTTTGGATCAAAATTGGCCCGCCCAATTGGTCATAGGCTTTCTTTATATGTAATAGTAAATACTTAAAACATCTTCTTTTAAATTTAATACAGTTGTAATTTCTCCTTTGTGGGATCAGATAAAAATACAATTTTGCATATAAACGATTGTAAAAATGAGAGTATTAATACACACATATCACCAAATCGATATGTCGATATGCTAGACAAATTACGGCACAGCCCCTAGCAGAACAGTCGTGAAAGCATAGCTACTGCAAATCCACGATCACTATTGTGTGGCCCTTACACAAATAACAGTTTGTCTTCAGGTAAGCGCTTTTGGGCCATTGCCCCCTTGTTAATACAGGTACCGTGTAACTGAAACAAAAAATGGTTTAAGCGCAACTTCACGGCGTTTGGATGACACAATGCCTGATATAGGTAGATCACAAAGCGTCAGAATTATAACAGATAGTATAGATGGTCTTCAGGCGACTAAGAGAGAGCATCCAAAAAGTGACGAATTGAGATTGAACTTGCAACATGAAGCACGTAGGGCAACAGATGAAAATATAAAAGAACCTCCCCCAACAGTAAAGAGAAGGCGGTTAAACCTAGAAGCAGGAAGATCAGAGCTTGCATCTAGATTACAGGAAATTAATCCTTCAACTATGAAATTCTTTCTTGAGTGAGTCATGTGTTTATTATTGATTAATATGTTTAAAAAATATACTGTACTTAAGGTAGTACACCCCTAATACATTATCTCCACTTTGAAGAGTTATTCAATTAGGCTAGAATCACTGTAAAGTGTATTGAAACTGAGGGGCGTGGGTTCAAACCCCAGAAATGGAAACTTTTTTTTTTCTTTTTAACATTTTTTATAAATCTCTCAGATCCCTAGTGGAAGAAAAAAAAAGTGTTTCATTTTAATTATATAATTATTGTAGGTATTTATTTACTAAATAATGCCAAAATTAATAGCAAATATGATACCAGATATTTTCAAAGTTTAATAAAATAAAAACTACACGGTAAAAGTATTTAATATTTTGCAATATCAATCAATATACATGTAAGAACATTTTGGCGTACTATGAAAACATTGTGGAAAATTTAAGGGAAATTTTAAATTAGGCTTTTTACATAGGGAAAAGGTCAAATAGGTGTTAAACGTTGGTGGGGTAGGGTGACATTTTATGCATATTAAAAACATTTCGTTTAAAAACAATAATTTTGCTTGTTTAATTTGTAACGTCAATGTCATTATTTGTTCCTTAACAATGAGCGATAAGAAAACATTTTTCATAATGATGATATTATAGATAATTTAGAGTTCCTCATTTCAGAAAAAAGGCCCTTCTAATGGCAAATCTTCACCTCAGAAAATGTCCATAACTCATAAACCACACCGTAAAATTTGTTTAAATAATGCATACAGGTGACATTTATGACATTTAAGACATATAACTGTCCCATGGTGTCAATTTTACAGGTTATTTTTACGTAGAGTATATTTGTTTGTATTGCATATAAGACTTATATATATTTCACAGAGTTAACATTACATGTAATTTGATGTAGCGTAGCTATTAGTGAAAATATATTAGATGGTGTTCACGAATGAAGTTTTATTTAATATTGCATACAGAATATATATATATATATATATATATATAGAGAGAGAGAGAGAGAGAGAGAGAGAGAGAGAGAGAGAGAGAGAGCACGAAAAATGGGCACGGCCGCACGCCGCAGCCGGGATTCGAACCATGGGTCTCTGGATTGCCGGTCAAGTATGCTAACCACTACACCACAGCGGCCGTTGCTTTTTCTTCGTGCTAATTGGCCTTATATATCTAAGCTATTTTTAGCTTTATTGTGACGTCATTACTTTTATTACCATAGCGGCGAGCTATTTATAGCTTCTTTTACCGCAGTTGGCTGACTCAGTCACTATTATTAATTTTCTTATGGCAAACACATTTATTGTTTTATAAGACCATTCCCGCCCAAGAATGAATATATATGAAAGAAAGAAAGACATGAGCGAGAAATAATACATAGAAAAATCGCACGAAAAATCGGCACGCCGCAGCCTGGACTCGAACCACGGGTCTCTGGATTGCCGGTCCAGTATGCTAATCTTATCAAATCATGACGTCAAAGTTATCTTGTTGAAAAATTATTCTGTGATTTATCATGCTTTTTTCGTACATTTTGAACATAAAATGTGCAAATGTTAATGTGTTTTTCAAAACTGAATACATTTTACTTTACGACAAAGTATATTTGTGACGATATTGACACTTAGGATAAACTATTCTTTTCATCCGCATTCAAATATTCTTTGCTATTGTGCAACTTCAATGTGAAATTATCAAATATAGTTTCACTGTCTATTGAAAAGTGAGTGATAGTAATATTGTCTTCTGTTGACAGCGTACCTCAGAATAAACAGAGGGACGAGGGTGACGAAATATATGAACAAATAGGATCTAAAGGTAAACAAAGCATGATTTTTTTCCTCTTGATTTGTGTATTATGTTGTAGTTTGGCAACGCGATAATTGGCTTTATTGAACCCCATAGCTGTCTCATGTTGTTACTTTTTTTTTTTTTTTTTTTTGTTTTTTTTTTTTTTTTTTTTTTTTTTTTTTTTTTTCCTAAAAGCGTCTTGTTGTGTATAAAAGAAGTGTTACTTTGCCAACGTTTTATGTGAACCAGTCTTAGCAAAGTCTTATTAGGTTAAATATTTATGTTATTTTGTCAAAATGTGGTGCTGACTTTTCTAAACACTGTTTTATTGTTTAAAATCAGCATGTGGTCATGTCCGAATTTGGTGTTAACATGCCTAATTGAAGTCTTGATATATCTAACATGCAAATTTAAATTTTGATTTCAACTTGTCTTTCTTTTCAAACAGTTTTGTTTAAATGTGATGTTGAATTGTCTGAACTTAATTTGGCAACCACTGGAGTCTTCTTGACCAATTGAGAGTCTTGTTTCTTTAAACCCTGTTGTATTATATTATATTGTCATTTTGTGGTACTGACTTGTCTATACACTGTCACATTTTGTCAGACTGCCATGTAATCGGTCTTTTTATGTGAAACAGTAGTTTAATCTTGTGGGAACTAGGTTTCAACTTGTCAAATTCATGTTTTTTTTATGTCGACACGAGTGATAACCTTTATATTAACTTGTCTGACTATTGTCCTGTTTTACCAAACTGTTATGTTGCTTTGTATGATTTGGTGTTATTCTGTCTTATTTTGCCCAAAAATCATGCTATCTTTGTTGTTTTCTTTTCTAAAAATACACTTATTATCTGAATAACATATTATAACTAATGTTGACTAGGCTATAAATTATGTGTGTACGTGTAAATTTTATTTTATTATGTCAAACAGTATTATTGACATGTCCAAACATTGTTTATTTATTCATGCTATTTTGTCCTAATTTCATGTCAACCTGCCTAACCACTGTCTCATTATATTAAATAGTGGTTATATCTTGACAAATTATGGTTTTGTATTGAAAAAAAATTAATACATCAAGTCGTAACGCTGTTTTGTTTAAATGCAGATTTAACCTAGTCTAGGTTCGCCTTATTATGTAATACTATCTTGTCAAAACGTGGTGATGACTTGTCTAAATTAACTTGCCAATTTATTTCGTTAATTTGTATTAATACCGTCTTACTATGTCTTACTATGTTTATTGTCAAAAAACGATAATGACTTGTCTAAAAATCCTCATATTTTGTCAAAATGTCCTGATAGTGTATCAAAATTCGTCGTTAATTTGCCTTAACAAGAGACTATTGAATCAATTGTGCAAATTTGGTGTTCACTTGTCAGACAATAGTGCTGACTTTGCAACACGTAATCCAGTTATTTTGTCCAGATGCGATGATGTCCAAATTTAGTGTCATGTGACCAGAGCCCGCGCGAATAGAGATGGCTGAGCGTGGAATTTGCTGCGTAATAAAATAAACAGCATGCTGCAGTATTATTTTAAAAGAGCTGATTGATTGCCATGATAATATAGTATTTAAAAAGCATTTCCTTTCGAAAATACTCACAGTTATTTCACAATATAAGACACATAAAAGCACGGAAGTTTAATATAATAAGACATCATTTAGACAAGTTAACATCGCTTTCAAAGAAGAAAGCAGATCCGTTTTTAAGAAAATCAGACAGAACTAAATTTGGACAAATTCATACAATTATTAAACATAATAACATATCTATTTTTTTTGTTCTTTGTAGTTTATCATAACAAGGCATCATTTAGCCCAGTCAACACCCAATTTCGGCAAGATAATACGAATATTGAACGTACTATGACAATTCATTTGTCCTTGCTGGCTAATGAACACTTCTGTTCGACACAGTAAGACAATGTTAAGGCATTTACGTGAACACCGTATTTTGACAAAATAACATTGCTTTGGTGAAATAAAGAAGTACTTTGACAAGTAAAAACAATAGTTCGACAAGAGAAAACTGTTCCTATGATCAGATAGTCTTTTGACAAATCAGCTTAACAATTTGACAAAACAGTGCGACAACTTGACAGACACATTTAAGACAAGGCAAACGACATTTTGACATGAAAACATTACTCTATGAAATAATTAAACAATGTTAGGACAAGTCAACATCACATTTCGAAGTAATAAGACTACTGTTACGCATAATAATGTAATGCTTACACAAGTCGACAAAATATTATGGCAACACAACACTAATATTTGACATAATTAGGCGCTTTTCGGGGAAGACGAAAAGAAATGTAACAACACGAAGCAGCTATGGCGTTCCATAGAAAAAAAATAAATGCAACACTGATCTTGTCGTTATAGGTAAAGTGGGCCGTCAACTTAGCAAAGGACTTAGACATTTTTTAGCGCAGAGAAAGAACCCAGATGACACTGGACGTGCAAATGGAACAATGGAACATCGTGTCGATTTACCAGAAGACCAGAATCAATGGTATACATTCCATTAATATGGAAATAAAAATACGTTTATCTAGTTTTTCACTTTGCATCGTATGTAAAGACGTTCTTTATCTTAATATTTTTTTTTGTATTTATATATTACAAAGCATTTGTTGAATGAGTATTATAAGGAAATAATTTTTACCAATATGCTACATGATATTTTGAAACCCTATCGAAATCTTATTATGAAATTTATCACATTAACCACCGCGCTGGAGTTTAATAAAACCATCAATATGATCAGTCTGATCAGGATCCATGCTGTTCGCTTACCAACCCTTTCACAAGTAGAGTAAATAATAGCGAACAGCATGGCTCCTGATCAGACTGTGCGGATGCGCAGGCTGGTCTGGATCCATGCTGGTTGCAAACGCACTATGTTGGTTTTGTCGTGACGCGGGTAATATTACATTTCCTCTTACATATCAATCGCATGTTTCGCGAACAATAATAATTTGATGAAAAATACACCACTGTTGTTTTGCGCAAGTGGTGAATATAGCATTTGACTGTATTATTTTTATTTACAGCACTATTCAGGATGTTTGAAGTCGTTTGTATTACATTTATTTGTTTATATTTTTTATTTACAGTTCTATTTAAGATTTCAATGCGTGTACTCACAGAGTATTTAGTTTTACATTTAACTGCAGATTATCTATTTACAGCTCTATTTAGGGTTTATTTTCGTGTACTCAAACAGTATTTAGTTACTGTATTATTTCTGTTTACAGCTCTATTGAAGAAACAACATAAAATACAGCACTTTAAAAGAAGTAACAAGACACCTACTTCTGATGAACAATTTGAGTATACCAAGATGATCCGCAGTGTTTTTAAAATTGGAATAAACATGACATTTGACAAAGTACCATAAAATAAAGATATATAGACAAATCAAACTACATATTAATGCTAATCAAAAACGTACTCTGAATCAAAAATAGTCTTGAATCATTGATTTAGGATAAATTTTCTTTACTAATGTTTTTTTTATCAAAAATATAGATTTTATTGCATAGGTATCAACTGCACCTTGGACAATCACCACATTTTATAAGCTTGTATATATGTTGTAAAAATCTGGGACAAAACCTTATTGACAAATGGTTGACTGAACATTTGAATAAACTGTTATCAAATCATTAATTTTTGGTAAGAATTTATGTTATCATATATATTTATTTGCAGTGGAAAAAAATCAAAATATATTTGTTACTTATGTTATACGTGTACTTGTTCTTTTTTTAAAACTTTTTCTCTTTTTAATTTTACAAAGTGTATAGCTATATGGCAATGTTGCTTTTATTTGATATGATTATCTAATAATATTAATTTATTTGTTTTGCTTGATATATGTAAATTATGTTTTATATATATATTGAAGTGATGTCTCAAACGTGGATTTTTAAATCCAATTGCAAATTTATCTCGACGAGTTGCATACGAAATCATATTGAAAGATATACAAAAGAAATTAACAAAACTAATAAAACAGAATTTTTCCTTCTTTTCAGTTAACATATTTGTTTCCTATCTATTGTATAACTCATTAATTTATAAGTTTTATTTTAATTTGCACGAGTTGCAGGCTGTTACCTGATCAATCATTGCACCCAAGTTTTTGTTGCTTTTTATTATGACATGGATTTGTATAATCAATAAATTTAGTTTTGGTCCATTCCGGTTGTTTTTTATTAAGTTTGTAATAAAATATTCAGAGAAATTTGTTAGAGATACAGACATTAGCGTCAAACTATTGCCATTCCCTCGTGCTCTTTACAATTTACAATGAAGAGACGACTTTTGAGTACATTCACATGCCGGAGCGTCGGTGGTTCTACTCGGGTATCCTTTGTGCATGAAATAATGCACGGTAGGCACCAGAGATCTTCCTCCATCAGTTAAGCTGAAAGGTCGCCATATGAACTTTATAATGATGGTGCGTCGACCCAGGCCAAAATCAAGGAATTAAGTGCCACAACAAAGCTCAGTTTAAATTGCTCCACAATTACATCTTATAGTTGTTATCACATATAACATGAATCAATAAAAAAGTTACAAACATAACTTCTTAATTGTTACAGTGATTTACAGGCGTGCACATATAGATAAGTCTTACGATATACACATTTCAAGGGTTATATGTGCACATTTACGATATTGATAGTTGCAAAATGATAATAAATTATGTTGAACATTGCGGCTGATGGTTATTTTGAATAGTTACACATTGCCATGGACCTCACATTGAAAAAAAAACTCTCACACTCTGTTGCAGATATTTTTCATGTGTCAAAAAACGTTAAATCTATTTAAGTACATACTGATTTGATATGTGGCCGTCACGCTAAGTCTAAGAGCCAGATCAAATGACCATGTATATAGACCTACTACGGAATAAATTATAATGTTTCCTAGCTAATTCGGGGGTACTTGTTTCAAAGCGTTAGGTACCGCTTACTAAGAGGAGCACACACCGTTTAATATTATTTTGAGCTTTTTGAAACATACGATATTATTATTCAAAGATTTGCCTTTAATATCTGTGTATATTTTATTTATTTCTTTGGGCAAATATTGAATTACAATTACTTACATTCAAGTCGAATAAACCTTTTTATACTCACGATTTGTACAGTTTTGTAAAAGTGAGTAGCACATGCGAGATATCCTAGCCAAACATACTTCAAATGGCGTATCATATTGGAGGAGAGCTCTTTATTCTGTTTACTAGTACTCACAACATTCGTATTAGATAAAAAAACAACTCTTCTTTTAAAACAATTTTTATAACGGTATAGAAACTTTGAAATTGGATAAACTTTTAAAACGTCCAAACAATGTTTACTTAAATGATTATCAATAATAAAATTAGTTATAAAAAGTCCGCAATAACATTTTGACTAAGATAGTGAGTTGGTAATAAAATAATAACGAAACAAATCTTCATTCTCATATTTTCTATATTTACGGTAACAAAATGTAAAACATACAAATCACCAAATGACAATTTTTGGATTTATAATTCTGTACTTCACAGGGTTGACTATTTGGACAATATTAATATATTTTATACATGAATAATACATACATCGGTAGCTGTAAAGATAAGTAAAATTGTGTTGTTTACATATTGTTATGGTCGATTCTCGAAAAAGTTGTAACATAGAATGTATCTATTATTTAACACATCAATAGTGTATATAAACTGAATAAAATGTTCCATGCTGCTATTTTAAGTGGGGTTTTAACTGTTTAGCAATGATTTCGTGAACGCGCAATTTACTCATTAGGAAATACATAAACATAGTTCTTTCATACAAACATATATTTTGTAAGTATTCTTTTTTCAAAATTGAAATAACATTTTTGCAGCATATTTTTTGCTTTATTCACTTTTGCCTTTTCAACAAAATTCTAATGATCATAGTATTCCTATTTGTTTTCCTCTCAATCACTACTTCCGTTTTCCTTTTAATCGGGAAACTCTTCAGGAGGAATATATTTATTGTTTAATACATGTACATCTGAAATAATATCTCGATTTGTAAATTGCATTATTTCATTTAACGAAACCATGGCTTCTGACGAAACTAAGGCCATCTGAATATCACGAAATTTCACGAAAATATGTACACTTGCTTATTAAGCAATTATTCAACGCATTGTTTTATTTCTTCTCAAAAATGTTGTTTGATTTATACACACAAGAACAAATAAATAAAACGGCATGATATATACTGGCATAGTAAAAAGACATCTCAAGTTATTTTTGTGAATAAGTGAGGACTGCGCGCACATTCAACCCTCAACCGTTACATTTGTCTTTGCGGAAATTGCTGACAAGGACGGTGTTGGTCTAGACACTGGTGTAGCCGTCGGAATGTCGTAATGTACTGGCGATTTCCTCATATTCTTTGATGTTTGCTTCTTTTTTAACTGTGTAACCATTTTCTTGTTTAAGTCTACAAGTGCACGGGTCATCGCATCTTGAGCCCTTTTGTCGTCTGTGAATAGAAAAACGTATTTTGCTACAAAAATGTATCCGCTTTTAGACAATAAAGGTACATATTTATTATTAAAAACGGCGCATTTTTTCCCATTTCTATTGGACATAAAATCGAATAAAATTATCAGTGTTACCAAAACAAAACTTAAAAAATAAGAAAGGAAAGAAATAACACTATCACAGTGGACAAAATTTTAATTGAACATGTTCAGAAAATACATACACAACTATCTATGATACACCCCCTAGCACCGCCTTAACTAAAATTAATGGAGGAGGCAACCTTTAACATCCAATGTTTGTCTATGTACTTAAACGTTTTAAATCTCCAATTTCAGCAAGAATTTTACTTACTCAACAGCTTAGCACGCTCCAATGCATCCTCAAAGTGTTGATAAGCATCCTTGTATTTCATAAGGTTGACTGAAATACCAATAGCACGTGTTAGTTAAAATAACATCATTCCTAAAATGTATTTGCAGTATTCTTCCTTATTTTATTCACATAAACTACAATATTGTTTGTCTTTTTCACCATTTAACATTTAACCATTACAAACGGGAAAGTCTATATAGCAGTATACATGGATGAGTTGAAATAGATGTGAATGCTAATATGATGAAAACTACAAGAAAAGTCAAAAATATGTTGGCCATTGTAAATTTATGTCACATATCTTGATGCCAAGTAATTAAGCTTCCTTATACATTAATTCTAAAACTTTATGCATGAGTCATATACTAGTACATCAAAATATCAACATCAAAAGTTAATTTCAGACTGAAAATATTCTGACTAAATAAAGATATCAGATTAATATCATTGCAACTTCCCCCACTGTTGGCTGGTAAAGGGATAAATGCAGTTGCTAGCTATATCTGCCGTGGTCAAGAAATCTTCTGGAGTATATCATATATTGGAAGAGCATTTCTATGTAACATTAGGATTTTTGGCGCAATGTACATGTATTGTACATGTATGTATGTAGTGAAACAAATATAACACAACCGTTTCAAACACACCAATACCAGGAATAACATGAAATGGGTATACCACATCCAAAGAGAGAAATTCATAAAACAAAAATATGTTTTATTTTCATTACATTTCCTTGACAACCATACCTTCGGCAACAGCAACCCAGCACATTGGACTGTAGTTGTAGCCTCTGATCATTGGCTTCGAGGGCTGACCTCAGAGAGATTTGAGGCCAGACTCATGGGCATATTCGTATATCTTCATCATCAGGAAACAATTACCGATTTCATGAAACAACCAGGAAGTCTCCTTCGGACTTGTACATAGAGGTGCCTTCCGGTTATAGCTGTAAAGTTGATAAAATATAGTTATTATCAAATGTATGACATAGAGATTATTGGAGGTAGATGCTTATTACATATGATATTTTCTTTAAGCAATCTCATCGAGTAAAGATTTCAAAGAGTCAGATAAAATGGAACTCTTATTAATTGAATGTATGGACAACCCTTAAAGAAATCAAACAGCAAAATGATAAATTCTCCAGGTTAGATTTAATAAAGCCTGATCAGAAGGCGGTAGTGATAAATGCAAGCTACCGTCTACACCCCCTTGTACCGGTTAAAGCATTTTTCAGCATTGACATATAAAACGGTGTTTAGTTTAGACCCTCGAAACAGTCGTATTAAGTAAGTCTTGCCTGCGTCACAATAGTCGAATAGAAACTATCTAAGAATAAAGTACCTACATTAAAGTCTTGTAAATGTCCACTAATAGACTTACAAGGATGCTACGTATCAGCAACCGAATGGAAGAATATAACGGCTAGTCTTGAAAGAAATGTCTTATTGAATACATTATTTGTAATAAAAATTTTTTTTTTAAATATTTCAAGAGAAAAAATAACTG